TAAACGAACACCACTATTTGTCATTCAGTTAACTATTACACACCAATTGTCCATAGTTTAAAAAAAAACAAATCACAATTGTCATTGGAACAAAAAAAAACAAATCACATTTGTGTAGCAGCGCCGTGCGTGGAGGTCTTGGAGTTGGAGGAGAAAATGAGAAATGAAGAATCAGGAGATATCAATTACCATCCCTAATCAAAACCTTATTAAAAAGCCCAATATTAAAAAAGGCCTAAACCCTTTAAAAGCTCAATAATTAAAAAAGTTTTAAAATTTAAATTCAAATTAAATAAATAAAAATTATATWTTAAAATTAATACATAAACGAACGTAAACGAACATAAACGAACGTAAACGAACGAACATAAACGAACATAAACGAACGTAAACGAACGAACGTTCACRAACATAAATGAACGCACGTTCACGAACATAAATGAACGAACGAGACTCTTGTTCATGTTCGTTCGTTTAACTAAACGAACAAAATTTTTTGTTCATGTTCGTTCATTTATTAAATAAACGAACATAAACGAACTTCCCGCCGAACGGTTCACGAACGGTTCGCTGAACGTTCGGTTCGTTTACAGCCCTACTCGTTGGTTTTAAGAAAATTATCGTGTTCAGCAAACATATATGAAACAAGGGTATTTTTGTAATTTTGATTGGATTTGGTACATTAGTTGATGAAATGGGGTGACAAAAGTTGAAAATTCTATAGTTTGGTGAATTATTTGAAACTTTACAACAAAAAAATAAAAATCATTTTATTATTTAAATAAATAATATATAATATAAAGGCATGAAAGCTTTCATAGCTCAGTTGGTTAGAGCACCCGTTTAGTAAGCGGGAGGTCTTGAGTTCGACTCTCAATGAAAGCAGTTTATTTTTGTGTGTGTGTTGCAAAACCGGCCCAATTGTAAGGCCCATTAGGCCCAAATAGAGCATCTACGCCTTTTTAAGCTCACAATCTTTTATCTAAAATTAGGGACCATTTATTAAATCCTTACACAATAAGTGTTCACAGACTCATTTTACCGTATCAATTGAATATGACAAAGACTGAGAATCGTTCACGGTAAAAATGATGACAAAGACCGAAAATCTTACCTGATAGATGAGAATGACGATTGTTATCCTAGTAAGGGGTTGTTTGTTTACCTCTTAATAGACCTCTGA